TATATATATATAATAAAATACTTGCCTAGGCTTTATTTAAGGTAGCCGAAACATATTAGGAAGGTCATGCTTTTTCCCTTAAAAACTGCAAAAAAATCAACCCAACCATTCCGAAATTTCAACTTCCTTTTGGTAGTTTCTGGCTTTTGGCAATATGTCATTTTAAGTCGACAAAGTCCTCATCCTAGTGCTTACTTTGATCTCCTTTCCATATTGAAGTTAATGCATTAGTAGATTTGAATACTGAAGGAAGTTGTAATAGCACAGTATCTAATTACCGGCCTCAAACAATATCCCAAAGTTAAAAGTGATTGAGAATCTACCTAGAAGTAGTACCTATGGCGTCATTGAGACGGGCATCGAGCCGTCAAACTCTTAACAAAACCCTTCCCGTCTCATTCATGGACAGTTCAGTAAGTCTATTTACGCCTTTGTGTTCGCCAGAAACAAAGGTCAGGACGTCAAAATGTGCAAAATACCATTGTGATTTGTTGTGTACACGTTTATGATACCATTGGAGTTATAACACGGAAATATTTCCTGTTAACTTTCATCAATGGCTTAAATTGTTTGAGAACAAGGAAACTCTCGGGTGCAATATTGCACCGCTGACGTCTAATACCAAGCATTTGCACATACAATAACTGCTAATAGAATGCAAATTTTAAATAGAAAAGTCTGAAGTTCCTTTAATTTCCATCAAATCTAGAAAACAATTTGCCAGGTTGCTTTCCATCGCATCATTTAAGTTTGTAATTTGCGCTTTTAGCCTTGGGGGCATTCTGAAATCAAACTGCACTTAGTCTTCGAAAAGGAGCAGAATCAGCTTATGTTCAATGGGCTCACTGTTCTTCTCATTTGTTTTAACAGAGTAACGCTTATTACTTTTCATAGATGGCCCTAAATTTAAGAGTCCCGATCCGCTGATCTACGCAGGTGCCGTGGGAGAACCGCTGCGAATGCATTGTTCGGCTGATGGGAATCCATCGCCAGAAATAGAGTGGCGGTTAGCTGGAACCAACGGGCCAAGCGCCGTACTTATGAGGAATGAATATTTTATTCGTGACAAAATTCACCAAAATGACTTCGGGATTTACATCTGTACAGCCAAGTCAGCCGGATACCCTTCAGTGTCAAAGAAGATTATTTTGGCTAAAAAGTGTACGTTAGTAAAATAATGATCTAGTTCATTTGACTTCATGCCCGATGTGGAAGGCCTTGTTAGTGTTTATTGCAGTTCCGAATTTGTAAAAGGTTCTACTTTATTAGCCAAATTGTGGTAATTTACAGAACGGCTTGAATTATTTTTTACTTGAAGTGAATACCTTTGATTATGGTCAATGCGGTCATTTCCTAATGGATATTTTATGGTAGGGGTTCAAACGAAAGTTGTTCAAAATAAATGTACCCACACCCTAGCTGTTTGAAGTTTTAGACATAGTAGGCACCTCGTATTATACACACTTGGCTCAGTTGCATGTGTCTGTGGCTAATAGCCAGCATTTCACGCACGAAAGAATTAAAGCATCTGATGTCACTTCTGGTGACGTGTACAAATTGATAATTCTTGGAGTCAGTTAATGGCGCAGATTTTGCACGCGTTATACATGGCCTAAATGTTCAATATTTTGGTGATTTTTGTGAAAAGGTAAATGCAATTCCAGTTAGTTAAAAATAGGCCATATTCAATTGCGTGGTTTTATTATGACTAAATCCATTTATGCACAAATCGGCTCAATGGTATTTTACGCTTCGAACATACGGGAATTTCTAAGCGCATTCTTAGACTCTATAAATCATTCTTCAGCTTCTATGTGCGGTAAAAGTGGATCTTGAAAGCAAATGCAGTGATATTATTGAGGGATACATTTTAATAAGGCATGTATACGAAAACTAGTGGGACAAACAACCTTCTCATCATTAATTTAAAAAAACGTTGGGGTCACTCCATCGACAACCGACCAAAATGTTCAATATTGGTAGGACGAGCCATGACGTAATAAAAATAACTTGCTACATCGCTTCCGGCGTTTGCTTTGCAGTTAAATAAAATAAGATTACTTTCAAATTGTAAATTCAAGTGGACATTAACGAGATGACCTCTACAGAACTCCGATATAATTATTTTAGATCAATCTTTTAGCAAAATGGCAACTACCTCTGGAATTTTTACTCAAAATGTTTTAAAAAAGAAGATTATGTAAAGCCGATTGTATTCCATTTGACAAGGGTACCTACCTGAAGGGGACGCACACTACCGTTAGTATGGATGAAACTGGAAAGTATCTTTTGTCGGTCAGAATTTATTTGTCACACTCTACAAATGCATGAGAATGAGAAATAGACTGAATTAACGCTAAGTGCAGTTGTCTATGAATTTCAAAGAGCATTCAAAAGGTCTTTTAATGCGGCGACTAAATTTCGACTTTGGTGTTGTTATATAAGGCAGTCGTTCCATCTGTGTAGGTTGGTGCTCATTGAAAAGGGAGTATAGGCACCCAATATTTGGGTTTGATTGCCGGTAACAATTGGCTTCTGCTAAAGCTGGATACTTAATGTTGAAAGAGATAAAGCAAACAAAAATAACAGGATATGCGATTAGTGGGGTGACTAAAATTCATTTCCCTTTAAGACTTCACACAGGTCTTGGTATGAAAACTACACTGAAAATATTAAATCACCCATCAAATCCATTTGCAGACATTGAGCAACAGTTTACGGAGAGCACATCATAAGAAAAGTGATTTCCAAAATGGCTTCTGAAATATCTTCTAAATAAATGCATCTATTAAGGATGTAATACGTAATTTTCTAGAAAATGTAGTTCGGCTCAGTGCTTCGTGTTGGTGCTTCGTCTTTCTGTGGGCTGTCGCTTGTACAAATTTAACAGTTTGAGGCGTACAGTTCTCGCGAACCCTTGATGTCAATGGGAACATTTCAAGTTATACACCGAAGTACATTTAAGCGTGAAATGACTTCACCAAATAGCTGTGTAGAACTCTGTTATCGACAAGTAGCTAAAAAAACAGTTTCAGGTGGTATTTATGACATTTGTTTACTAGCAGTAATAGCTACAGGCCTTGTAAGAGCTAAATCAATTTTCAAAGAATGATTGGAACATATAACCCCCTATGCGTCTTGTACGTAGACGGCAAACGAAAACCTACCGTTTATTCAATATAGGGCGCAGTCGTGTTCGCTCAATGAACTGTGATCTAATTTTCTAATTAGCACTAGTACATAAACGAGATTATCCTTTGCTTAGGCGATTTACTTTACTTTGGTGGCAACTATATATTACCTTAAGCACTAATCTCTACTTGGAGCAATAACAAGTAATATAGTGTAAGGACTCGTCTTCGAGTTCAATGTCTTGTTAATGCTAGGACCAAATAGATCGTAGCAAAAGTTCTAACACCGAGACTCAAAAACTTCCGTAGACAGTCATAAATGTTGCATCTCGTGGACAAACATGATGTTTCCTTCTACAATAAGTAACTAACATTTGCACAGGTCACAGTAAAAATGACACCATCCCATTTAATCTGGACCTAAATTGCATGCCCTTTCAGCCGCTCCGAAGATAAAGCCAACGGAACCGGTGTACGCCGCTATTGGCTCGCCTGCCAGACTTCCCTGCACAATAAATGCTATTCCTCTTCCACCCCCAGAGGGGTTGCATTGGTTCAGACGCGAAATCATCCTTCGGCCGTCATCACAGTAAGCGACAATTCCTACATTCTACTACTTGAGATCATGTAAGAGACAGGAACCAGTCAGGAGGTTTTGGAGTAATATCTGGTAAAAATGCATGTCACCTATACAACCCAAATTCCAATGCCATAAGTTAATGTTCCTAAACGGACCCAATTTTAACCATTCGCTTCGGGCCGCAATTGGCGTGAACTCTCCAGCTGTACCCTGAGGGGAACCTCAGACAAACAAAATGATACTATTGGTCAAAGGATAATTTGGTTAACCATTTGCGTAGTTCGTTTCGAAACTTCTAACTGTACACCTACTAAATGTTTGGAAAAAATCCCTACAAATAGGTACTTGCTGGTGCTGCTTAAATGAACCAAGTATAATCTTAGAGCAAGTTTGGTTTTTCAAAAAAAACAGTCTGGCGCATAAATGTACCTAGGTCACTAACACTTGAATTGACACTAGCGTAGTCGCTCGGGAGCTTATACAAGTGTGTGGTAATTAAGATTTTTGAACGGCATAACAATTTCTAGTGACTCAGCACTGCCTTACAACCCTCTAGTTAACAGACTGTAACAACCCGAGAATGGAGTGAACAGAGGCGACATGGGATACGACCGTTTATTAGTGTCAGGCCAGCCAAGTGTGTATCTTAGTGTGTGGATGAGCGAGCGGATACAAGACCTTTTATTTCAGTAACCAATGAAAATGGGATGAGTCATCGACGCCGTCATATCAATGAACGGGGTCCATTTAGGCACAATCGCCGCTAACCCGGTATAAATTTGCCCATAAAACATTTACAGTAACATCTTCACTGAAAGAACAAATATTTAGCTATTTGCTACCTATCAAACATCTGGTCGGAAAAGGGCCTTGTCAAAAACTTCGGTCATTACTGTCTGAACTCTTAAAAAGTGACAATAAATCTATGAATCTTATCACAATGGGAAAGGTATGACTGTTTATCATGTCAATGAAAGTCGACTACAAAACTGAGAAGCCCGACTTAATTTTCGTTTTTAGAAAATTTTCACAGTCTGCATTGTTATACTTGAACAAAAGACCTTTAGGTGGTCTAAAGATTATGGGTACCTTGTAATTTCAAGAAAGCAACTTCCGATTTGTACCGTGTGACAAAAGTAAAAAATTATGCAGTTCCTTTGGTTTTCGACTTGATAAATCCTGATTAATCATATTCAATAGTATCCGTGCTCACTGGTCTCCATCCGGGTTTGTATTAAGCTTTCGGGCTCACTCTTGTTCAAAACAAAAACATTCGCGACACCTTGGAATGCTGACTTTGACACACAAAATAAACACGTGGATTACTTTATCTTTGAGGATTTTAAGGTGAATATCTTAGATCAACTTCATGCAGAGGTCTACATACTTGATTCTTTAAAGACAGAATGGAAAATCCAGTGCTGAAATTGGTTCAGAACATTCCATTTAGTTGGTTTTCGCTGCTACAAAATGATGCAGATCATCCTTGAACACTAAACAGTAATGTTAACGGCACTTTGATGGCTTCACGTGTCACGACATGAACTCAATGATTCAAAGCGGTAATGTCCAAGATAAACGTTGACTGTTGTAATATTGTTAATTTTTTAGCCGAAAATTCTCAACTCAAGAGTTCTTAGGCGGAATTATCTATGTTATGTCATTCTCGCATGTTATGTCGACGGACTTTGGATTCTACAACTGTTCTGCTGTAAACGCCTACGGCAGCGATTGGCAAACTATAGAACTTCGAAGGGATGGTAAGCTAATATATTTTCTTGTTCATCCCATCCTTAAAGATGAGCTATCGATAGCTTCTCTCAGCGGAATTATAGCGGCTCTGGTTGCAGCAGTCTTTTTTGCTCTTCTGCTCTTCTTCTACTGTCGAAGGCGCCAATATCCAAAACCAAGTTTAAAAGGTAAATTGTTCATGCACCTTATGCATTTATTTACTGTGCACATTCATGTGTCCGCTTTAAATTCATGTGATGTTATACCACGTTGCCGCCCTGCTATTTTTCCAACCGTGGCACTCAATAACGAAAAAGAGACATGCACCAATAGGTACAGCTGTTTAGCCAAGAGAAATGCGGTCACAGAGGTGCGTGTGAGTGTCTATTAGGGGCTTGTGAATGAAGGGTCAGTGACGAATTCCGGTCAGCTTGCGGTAGGCCCGTGCAAGCAAGCCTCTGTGGTAAAGAGAGCATTCGCCAACTAACAATTTGCAGTTAATCTTAATCTGCTGGTAAGAGCTTTGGAGAGCTGTAAAAGGTTCCAACGAAGGGAAAGATCTTTGAAAATGCCTCGCTTGATTCATTTCTCCAGGTTTCGGACAAGTCGAACTACTATTTAATTTTATCTTTCGAAGTTTCGATGCCCAGTGCTCATCAATACGAAGGTATTTATAAACACTGAAGAATATGGAACCTTGCGTAATTTCCACCGTCCAACGAATGAGTTATTCCCGTGTCAAAATAATCCCAATGCTGTCTCAGGCTCAAAATAAAACTACAGGACACTTGAAACAAAGTTACTGTGGAAGAGGTGTAAAGATATTTTTAAGTCATTCATTGGCATGTACAGGAGTTATAAAACGACAGAAATACATTTGAAGTTCATTTTTGTACGAAGTCATATGTACATATGGGAAAGGGTTCCCAATTGGCAGTCCAATCCACCAAATCACATTTAATAGCAGTTGCTGACAAAGGTTTATTGGAGCCAGAGTTGAAATTAACTTGCTTTACAAAATGCACCCAGTATAAGTTCAATTCAATGAGAAATAAGTCGAAACGCTCAAACCAGTTTTATTTTAAGCATTTACAGATTGAATTTTTTAAAGACAGCATGACATATACTGGGTCGAACAGCCGCCAAGTTGGCTTCCGCTGTAAATACAAGTTCGCGAAAGCAGTTTTTATTCGCGATCTCTACATCGGAAAGCGCAATGCTAAATCCATACGGAAAGTAGGCAGTGCTCGTTATAAGGCGCTGTTGGTGGATTTGGTTTCAGCAACATGAAGTGCATCGCTTCTTGTAAATTCATCAGAGTCACTAATATGCCATTTCTACCTTTTGATTTTGTTTGAATTGTCGTTGCTAACGGAGACTTACCGATTAGTATATTTTCAAAGAAGATGCACTTGTTATAAGGTAAATAGGCCTTGAATCCTTAAAATGTAAGTTCAGCGATAATGGTTTTCCATCCATATTCACAAAGATGACTGGTAAGTGACCCAGGTTCCTTGAGCGCATAAAAAAATATCACTGATCGCCGATCACAGGAACTTTATTGTTTAAAGTGACCGAATCATCCAGGCAGTTTGCCTTTAGGGCATTAATTTACATCTGTGTGAAATTACAAAAAATGCCCGTTTCACCGTGTAACTTGTTAAGTAGACTACTCCAACTTTGATGTGAAAGTGCCTTTGCACACCTACCAGTAAAATTCCATCTCCATGAAAACGTCAGCTGTCCTTAATTAATCAAACGGTGCCTAAGGAATGATTGTTTTTGGTTTTAGGAAAGACATTGTCAAAGGTCACAGGTCGACAAAATTCGGAGTTTCTGAATAATTCATACGGATACACACGAACGAACAAACTGCCCCAAATGCTGGGCGCGGACTCTAAGGACGACACATTTTACGTATGCTTTCCTAAGTTAATAAAATAAAAAAATTCTTTCCATATGTTGGGTAGCTAAGCAAAATTATGCAATAGAATTTCATCTGGTGATTTAGTAGAGAGTTGTCTTTTGGTAGATACACAAAAGCCATGGTCAAATTTAAAGTCCACCATCTCTAAGGTAGCAACACATCATGAACATTTGCATGACCATGATGTCTGGGGCTGATTTCAAAACGAATTATTTGGGGTCATCGCAACTACGAATCTTAACATTGGTATCTACCGTTTAATTAAAACCAGGAAGGTAGTTAAATGGCCTCATTTGTAATGAACCACTAAATGACTTTTAACATAATATGTGATCTCCAATTTGGCTAATTTTAGTTTGCTGTCCCTTTTCAAATCAGAACTTTCAAGTTTGTCTTAGAATTTCAAATATGCAGCTTGAAAATGTTAAATTATTCATTGGTCTTAACATTCTTTTCACTGCTCGGTTCTGACAGTACACTCAAACACCAGAAATTAATGCTTTAATTAAGTATGTAAGAACTGGTTTACACTTGGCACTTAATTAACTAATTAGCTAAACTTAGACGGCTAGAGAATGTGCCAATCATTGGCAGGAAATGTTCATAACCTAACTCTGGTGATTTACAATAAGAGCCTGAAAATTTCAACACCTAATACATTCTTTACAAAACCATAGTCCTCATTTACTATCGAGTGGAATATTTTTGACATTGTTCTGTAACCAAAAACATGCCCAGAAAACCACTCTACGAACTCCTTTCCCAGGCACGACCTCGCGCACGGAGGTGCCGTTGTCTCTGCCGGAGACCAAATGACTTGTCAGTATGCGCCACTTGTGTGTGTGTCGTGGGTGACCTTGACCTGAAGTACCAACAGGGACCAACACAAATGGCGGTCAGTGGGTGACCGGCTGAAGTACTGTGATTAGTGCTAATTGTGTGAACAACCATACAGTGCAGGCTTCCCCGTCAAGTACTGATGAGCGAATAATAAAAGGATAAATTTTGCATGGTACACCACATAATCTCTTTGATCTATCACAGACTAAGCATAACTTTACCATAGACCTGACCGTAATGCATCATAGGATGTTGTGACCAGCATGGTTTGGTGTTTAACTATTATCCACCAACGGCATGCCTTAAAATTTCTCGTACCTAGTCTTTGCATGGCACCCACCTTTTGGTCTTAATCTTTTCATGACAAAATATCGTTTAAACAATTTACCGCATTTTGCACTGATAATAACCATGACGTAGGTAGAAATCGATTACTGTTCTCTATTGGATTTTTTCTTGCTCAGTTTCAGAGTAGTTCTGGCTCTACAGATGCAGAAACTTTAAGCCGGTAAGTTCGATAGTCATCTTCTGATACACATCCATTTTAAAACCATTGCCATTTGTTTTGGAAGAAGCAAACACGTTGCATTTTTTTGTATTTAGAGACTGTACTTCAAGTGTTTTTTTTCCTAGTGGTCTAATTCAGACCATCACAAGATTTCATAATTAGCTGCTATAATCGCTTAGGCTTGGTGAAGTGTGGGACTTGGAACGCTATTGTGGCGTCACCGTGTGGACAATTTCATGTAAACCACACTGCTCCCAAAAATGCTAAAAAACGAGTTTACATAACGTTGAGATTATTAAAAGACCCACAGACTTCCTGTTACTGATACTCTAACTATGCTGGGTTTTGCTGACGAAGTTGTCCACCAAACAAGGACTTGACATGTAGTGGAAGACGTTAGTGAAGATAATTGATTAAATCTTTAATACTGAAGAGTGATTTAACAAAAAAATTGTTTTGAAAAATTGCTATGTGAAAAACACGCACGTTGCTCCCAGCATCACAAAACAGTTCTGGCATGTATCGTGACTCAACGGGATTGATTGACGTGGATTTAAACAGAGAACGTGAGCTCTGAGCTATAATGTCAAGTGTCAAGGGTCTTAGGCACCTCGTCGGAGCTAACTTGTAATACACATTGAGTCACTGGTGGTTGTACTGTCACGATATGGTGAGACATAACGTGACACGAAGTTATCGGGGCTGAGGATGAAGTTAGGTAACTGGAAGACTCGTCGGCTATTTGGTAATATTACTTGATCAATTCCGTGTGATAATATGTTCCATTATGCACATAAATTTGATGCGTGTCTGATGATTAAAAGACACGTAGGAAAATGGTATGGAACCGAACAATCAAAGTCAAAACTATAAGGAACAGTTGCAAATGGTCTGAGGGCATGTCAGAAAGGTCTGCAGAACATTCACATCGTGAAATCATGAAATGCTAAATTTACTCCTACTTTCTTAAATAATACTGAAGGAGTGAAACGAATGTTTATGTTAGACTGCATGATTTCATGCTGGGTTGACGGCATGTGTGTTTTCATTCAATATTGCCATCCTGGGAGCAAACTGGAAAAATTATATAAAGCTTGCTTATATTTTCACAAAAGCCTGACCCAGTAAAGTTTATTTACTCAATATTGTGTTGGATTACGTTTCCACTGCAGTTTACCGGTCGTGCATGTTGCTATCTTATTTAAGCTACCACTTGCCATCTACGACGATTCGTGGCTCTTCAGAGCACGCTGGCCTGACAGCTCAGTCTCCTTCATCAATCGCCTCGACACCCATCACTGATCAATGCCTATCAGTGCGTCCATTCTCGCCTGTTTGTAAATACACCCTAATTGACGGCAGTGGACAAAATATTCCCGTTTGCCCCAATGTCGTCACTTTTACTGGGCAACCCGGCGACCTTCACTTAACTAGTGAAGGTGGTGCAGCGCTTTGCATTGCCTCCGACTACCAGCCGATCCCCATTACCTATGTAAATTTGCCCGCTGCTACGCGCATGGCGTCGGTCGCCCAGGAGGGGCCCATTGCCCAACGAGTTGGAGTCGTTCCCGCCACACCAGTTTTACCCGACAGCGACATCATTGTGAATACCCAAGTCACGGATGTGTAGTCGAATCTACTAACGCGCAATTTCCACGAATTTGGTTTTTTTATCGCACTGTTCGCTTTAAAGTATTACCATTTTTGATAAACACATTTTTTCTGTGACCCATTTTGAGTTGAACTAGTAATAATGGTATAAGAAAACTCGGGATAAATTCTGTGTAACAATCACTTTAGAGATCGGCAACTCGAGACAGTCAATTGTTTATGCAAGTAGTTATTGTAGTATTTGGTACAGCTGCATATCCAAAGTTTGCCAATCGCTGCATTGACGATGACTTGACAGTCGCTTCCAACGCAACGCCCGCATCTTCAGAGTCCACGTGATTTCAGGACACAGCTCCAGATCCTGACAATGATAGGGTAAAACGATGAATAAAAATTAGTTTTTGGTACGAGTTTTTCTGTGTGAGTTACATTTTTAGATGATTTGGATAAAATAAATAAAGAGATCATGAGACTCGGTTTCAATCTGCTTAACCTGATTCTGCTACCTTGTGCCATGGTCTCAAGTTCTTTTCATGGGGCTGAAGGCTAAATTTTTTTTACGAAGGAGATAAAGGGCTTAAATGTGCCCCACACTTGTGAAACTTGAGTGGTCTCTTCAGCCTTGTTTCGGCTTTTATAAGCGAATACATGTATTTGACAAAGCTTATGAAATTAAAAAAAAGCATACAATTTATTTACCAGTGCAGTTTTTAAGATATCCAGGAAGAAAACGAAAAACAGTCAACATCTCGCAATACTGGTAATTGTAATATATTGTCTAATAAACTGACTAGTTCTCACTGCTCTCACTATTCTTGTTTAATATAACAAAACCCTCTAATAAATATAATACCTCAATACCGAGAAAAATCCAATCAACAACAATTTGTTTTCTTTTACCTTTCAACAGCCCATCCACAGAATGAATTAAGTCTTGGTGAGACGCAAATGCTTACATTTGTTTGTGTGATTAATACAATTAACCCGTGCCTGTTTGACATCAGGTTTAAATATTTTTTTTTCACTGTATTTCAACAATCACAGAATCATTTTCAGATTCTTAACCAAATAGTAAAGTTCTAAATCTTAACATTGTGCTATACATTATAAAGAACAATTTAATATCTATAAATTGTAATGCTATCATTGAACATGGAGATAAAAGCTGCGACAAAGAGTGGGCCTGAAAAAATTATACAGAGCATGCCTTTCATTGTGTTTCAGCCAAACTGACAAAATCTTTACGTATCTGCCGTATATTAAAGTTTTTCCATAAGGAACCTCCTTTCTGATGCTGAATTTGGATTATGTACAATCACGAAAAATGTTTTTATTGATCAGAAATTACCTAATTTGATGTTTCTGACTGCCACGCATTGTGCGTTTATCTGATGACGATTTCGTCTGACACGTAGTACAAATGTCAAATCTGCGGAAAAACCTGATGCAAACGGTCTTCTACCATCTCCGCACGTCCTGACATTCCTTCTGTTCATTCTTCCTCATTCCTGTTGGAAAGGTCAAGGCGCAAATGTCTGCACGGGCATCCAGCTTCACATGCACCTCCATATGCATAATGGCATTTACTATTGAACGAACCGGCTGTTCTGTATTAGAAAGCGTGCCTTTGATATTAAAGCGTGCTTCGGACAAGTAAAACTTAGGTCAATATTAGAATGCTTAAAACTAACCTCTCAACCTAAAGAAATATCTAGGTTGAACACGAATGGGTGCATCTAAATCACAAATTAAACGATAGTATTGAATCTTCCTTCCATCTGCTGGGCGTAGCCATTTTAGTTCACCAAAAAATAAAAACATCAAGTAAAAAATAAAAGATCGATGCTTACTCAGACACAAACAATGAAACTGCACGGGAGTAAATGGTAACTGTTCTAGAGCAGCTCATTGAGGCAAGTAAACAAACCTACGTGCACCATGGTGTGAAGAATTTTTCCAGTTCCACAATATTTTGCCGAATTTTAAGGTGTAGCTTGGGGGGCTTTTACTCATATTTTAGAACTGAATGGACAGAGTGGTGGAAAGTAACTGTTTCTGTAAGTAGAAAAGTGGCCCAGATTCGACAGTAGTTGTTAACATTGCGGCACAAATAAAATCGACTGACAAATTCCATGTGAAAATAGTAAGGTGAACAAGAAGCAAAGATTTTTTTGCAAATATTACAAATGGTCTTCCCGATTATTTTTTCTCAATTACGACATTAGACAGAGACAGACGTATTAGGTAAGAATGCCATGAAAACATGATAGGTAATGCCTAAATAGACAGTGTTCCTGAACAAATCAAAATTATAAGTTATGATCAGAGACGATTTAGCAGTGACTAATGGCGAGTTTACAAAAGGCTCGCACTTCTTGCAGCTTGCAAAGTAGAACATGTCAATACTGAATTTGGCCCGCAGTGTATACCAGCCTATTAGCCAGGCGTTTCTTTGTGAAAGTACATCAGCAATAACTTCTAAGTTGAAAATCGGAGCCCCGTTAAATTTTACTGGCACATAGTGCAGCAATCCTTTCACTGAAGTCTCCAATGATGACTATTGGAGTGTGTTTTGGCTAATTGGATAATAAATACTGCAAGAGACTTGATTCAAACTGAGTATCCGTGGCATCAGTGAGCTTGACGCTGCAAAGGCAGAAGACTACATATTCTAATGAATTGTTAAATCAGACTTCCAATTGCTAAAATCCAACCCAATCATACTTAACATGAGCATATTTTTAATCGGACAACATGCACACTTTTGTATGATGTTGTTACTTGCAGTGAAATGAAATAGAAAACTACATGTTTGAAAATCAAATATTTTATAAGTCTTGGTGATTACAGAGACATTAGAAGTCAACGATTTCACCGGATTTTCCACCATCTAAGCCGTACCTCATGTAGCAACAAAACGTTCCTAAATAAACGGCTAAAGTGATTTCTTTTGATTTGATAAACCGGCATAACTAAAACCGAATCAGCGCAAATTTACCACTTCAGTGAAATTCGTCCTTCAAACAGCCTACGTAGTGCTCAATTACATTTTGCACCCAAAACTCTAGAGACCTAAGACCATACCTTATAATATGTCAGTTCGTGAGGAATGACATCTAGGTTGCATCGATGTGTATCCCATAGAGTTAAATTATACCACAGTCTTTTCAAGAATTGACCAGGCCAGAACCTGATATCTCTGCCCCAAGGGGTGTTCACCAAACTGCTGTCGTCTAACCATTTGGCCCATTTGGGGTCTAGCAAGAACTTTTGATTAAGCAAAAGGCACATGAACTGTAAAGATTTATAAAAGTACTTCTGAGTGGTCAAGAATTCTTCTCGTATCGTAGGCACTAACGGATAATATTGCACTGAATAGACCGTTGACGTAAAAGAGTGTTCAAAATGCCTTTTAAAAAAATATAGCTCACTACATAAGTTGGCCAAAGTAATTCCTCAAATGCTTCACGTTAGTATAATCAGCACACCATACTTAACAGAAAAAAGTGAGTGGAAATATAAAACTTGTTCAATTAAATGCAGCCTGGCTCTTCGCCATAAAAGGGAACATTTGCATTTTCCATATAGTGGTATCTATGAACACTGTCACTAAATGTAAGCAAAAGTTAGGTTTAAACAAATTGGTTTGAAAAAGTTGCTGATGGGAGTAAGAACTTGGAACTTCGGAAAGCATGTTGATCGTTTTTAACCTGAAGAGAAGCATGTCAATAGGATTCGGTTGTAGGTTTTTGTCAAACTACCATTAGTACTTAGTCGCTATTCAAAAAAATAGAAGCGTTGTTTAAAGAGCAGCACGAATACACAATGCATATCACAGTTCTCTTAATTACTCCCATCTTGTGAGTATGGGTCTCGAATATCCGTCCCTCAATCGTCCAAGAGTCATCTTAAGATATGAATCTTTTACAGCAGGTGATTGAAATGATGTTGAATGGAATCAAGCATGGTGATATACTTGGACTAATAACCGCTGAAGCAGACTTCCTAAATGCCTAGCCGTTAGCAGCAATTTCGCATGACATCGAGAGATTGATTTTCTCAGGCAGCTC